ATGTCCTTCTAAGAAATTTTAAAATAACCTTCACAATACAATATTATTTACCTATACATTTTAAAATTTATCATTTTTTATCATTTTTTAAATAAAAAATAATTAATTAAATATTTTTTTTAATTTTATTTAATTCTATTTTTTCATTTAATTCAATTCTAATTATTTCTGTTTCTCAATTAATTTGCAAAAATTAGAGAGAGGTAAAGAGGGAGCCAAACGCCAACTCGTAACATTTTTTTCTTTCATGTGACAATTATAGTAGTTACCCCGCATTACACATTCTCAATCAACACACCCACATTCTCAATCGCAAATTTTTTGTTTTTACAACACCATACAAAGACAACGTCACCATCACTGACAACATAAATGCTGTTGGACTTACAACTCCAACACTCATACCCCATACATAGCATACCGGACATACCAACGCAAACTCAACTGGCCAAGTGACATCATTTCCCTTCTGTCGTGTCTTGGCGACAACAACGAAAACACTTAACAATAAAAACAACAACGACAACAAAATTGCTAATTATAAGTTTGATCTTATCTTCTTGGAAGTGTAACAAGACCAAATTATGTTATAGTTAAGACGAACAATAAATAGGAAGGAAGTAAAAACAAACAAGTGAAAAAGCGTTAAGTTCGGCCGTGCCGAACTTTGGATACTAGAAATGAAAATAAAGGGAACATACCAAAAACGAATTATGTAAACCATAATACAAATTTCAGAAATTTTTAATTGATAATTCAAATTCGAAGATGGGGAATATCGGTCCACTCCTTCTGAATCCTCCACACAGGGGCTAGGGCTAAATGCGGCTATAATTCATTATCGAACCTTACGTTCTAATTTTTTATCTCGCTATCCTCCGCAGGTGAAATGATTACAATAGAGTCTTAGAACCAAACTCAAAACGCGGAACAAATCAGATAACTATTTTAATATAAAAAAGGGGGTTATATGGGGACTACCCCAAAAAGGGGGCGAATATTAATAATTTTTGGTAGAGAGATTTGTTACCATATACGACCACAAAACACCAAATTGCAGCAAATTCGGTTGAAAAACGCGCTCAAGAACCCCAAAATGCCGAAAATTGGGGGTACCCTTATATGGGGGCTATCCGAAAAAATGGATCTATATTCATAATTTTTTGTGGAGTGATTTGGTGCCTATTAAGAACTCAAAATACTTAATTACAGCTAATTCGGCGGAAAAATACGATTAAAACCCCCAAAATACTGAAAATTGGGAGGTAACGTTATATGGGGGCAACCAGAAAAAGTGGACCTATATTTATAATTTTTTGTGGAGACATTTAGTACCCAATAAGAACCCAATGTAGCGAATTTGGCTGAAAAACGCGCTCAAGAACCCCAAAATACCGAAAATTGGGGAGTACCCTTATATGGGGGCTACCGGAAGAAATGTACCTATATACATAACTTTTAGTAGAGAAATTTGGTAACTATTAAGAACTCAAAATACTAAATTACAGCCAATTCGGTGGAAAACTAGGACCAAAACCCCCAAAATACTGAAAATTAGGAGGTACCGTTATATGGGGCTACAATTTTTTGTGGAGACATTTAGTATCCAATAAGAACCCAATGTACCAAATTTCAGCGAATTCGGCTGAAAAACCGCTCAAGAACCCCAAAATACCGAAATTTGGCGGGTACCCTTATATGGGAGCTATGCCTAAACGTGGACCGATATATCCCATCTACGAACTTGACCTGCCTGCAGACAAAAGACAACCATATGCAAAATTTCAGCACCCTATCTCAATTCCTTCAGAAGATAGCGTGGTTACAACAGACGGACGGACGGACATGGCTAGATCGTCTTAGAATTTTACTCTGATTAAGAATATATATACTTTATAGGTCGGAAATGAATATTTCGATGAGTTACAAACGCAATGACAAAATTAATATACCCTCCATACTATGGTGGAGGGTATAAAAATATGCAGAAAAAACAAGTAGTATTTTCTTAAATTAATATTTTTTAGGACAATAGGACTTTAACATGGATGTTTAATGAATATTTTACACTCTGCTATAACTTTATAATATTTAGGACTACTTCTCCTTCAAATCTCACAGATAAAAGCGTGAACTTGTAAAGGAATTTTTTTCCGAGACCTAACACATTTTTTAAGATTATTTTTCCTCCACTATCTCTGCTAGAATCATTTTTTTTAATATTTCCCCTCCATTACCTCCACCACAAATGGTCAAAATTTTCAATATTTCTAAATCCAATATCGGGCGAATCGAATGTCAAATTTAAACCAACAATAGCACACACAAGCTATTATCTTTACATAAACTAGATCCATTCCGACTATGGATCCCATTAATCCAAACACACTAGTTCCTCCCCACAAATGGTCAAAATTATCAATATTCATTAATCCTATATCAAGCGAATGGAATGTCCGCGTTGAATCAAAATATGCACAACCAATTATGTTTACATAGACTAGATCGATTCCGTCGGCCCTCTACTTCTGGTACCTTCTCCACAAAGGTTGAATATTTTATAAACTTATAAATTTAATTTGAAGCTATTTATATAACCGATTTGATCAACATTAAATCCGAAACCTCTTTGAAAAAAATACATATGCCTTATATAAAGCGAATAATAAAACCTCTGTGTAATTCCGAAGACCTCCCCAAACCATAGGCTGAGAGATAATATATGTCGGCAATACCGACTGATACCTTTAACTTGTTTTAAAGAACTTTCCCCGTCCCTTTCGCAGTATGTGAGTGAATTTTTTCCCTAACCTATTACCGCTACTGGAATGGAATTCAGTAGGGATTGACGTACTAACATGTGTTGTGTTGTCAACAAATACTTGTTAAATCAATTAAAAAATAAATCTTTAAAATTTCGGAGCGATAATTGTTCACTACTTTCAATATGAATTAGCAGGACTTGATTCGGAAAAATAACGCAGAGGAGCCGTTTACCTATAATCGGTCAAGAGAGTGCAAATATTGAGAAATATTACCCAGGCTCGGAATATAGATCCGCAGCTACATAGAGCTCCGTGGTAGTTATATCGGGTATCATATAGCCTCGTCCGGAATATAGATCCGCAGCTACAAAGAGCTCCGTGGAAGTGGTTTCAGGGTATCATGTGATCGGCCACGTCCGCCACATTTATAAGCCGAACATCACAAAATTTCCATAGGGAAGGCACTACAACCAACTAATACGAATGGCAGTCATGATTATGAACTGTCAATATTTCATCATTTAGCGGGTTACTGTGGGAAAACTTGATTCGGAAAAATACCGCAGAGGAGCCGTTTACCTATAATCGGTCAAGAGAGTGCAAATATTACCCAGGCTCGGAATATAGATCCGCAGCTACATAGAGCTCCGGGTAGCTATATCGGGTATCATATGATCGGCCACGTCCGACTATACTGCTCCGCTCACTGGTTTATAAAATGTTTTGTTAACAATAACGTCTTTTAAAACAATATATATTTTCGTGAAAAGTTTTTAAATTTTTGCTTAAAGTTTAAATAAACACTTTTATATGAATTTCAGGGCGTGGATTTAAAATTTATATTTCTTTCGGAACAATCATATCTAATTTTTCTGTCTTGGGTTTTAAAATAAAATTTTTTGTTGTAAATTCCAGGGCGTGGAATTTTGCATAAAATGTTTTTTATTAACAATATGTCTAATTTCTTTATTTTCGCATATCAAACTTCCCTTTCAATTTATAATCACCAACAAATAAAAAAAACCTAATTCCTCTTAAAACGAAATCAAATCATGTCTACATTTTAAAATACATAATTCGTTTTAGCAATTAATTGGATCGATGAATTTGAACAAAAAATTAAAGAAAAAAATAAATAAATTCATATTAAATTAGTATTTAAACATTTAAATGCCTTCTGTTACGAGACATGCAAATATGGCTAAGCAACAATTTTTCGCTTTTCGTTTTCATGCCAATACTAATGAAGTTATTTGTTTTTTTACGATTTCATTACAGATTTTGGAGCACGAACAGATTTTGTTGGGGTTTTTGAACAAACAGCTGGCATTAAACTAACTCACGCACTCGCATTGCAATTGGCATGTTAACGTGAACGCAAACGTGAGAAGAGTGTGAGTGAGTGAGGGTCCCATACAAAACGTTATGCATTGAAACAACAGACAACAACAAATTATAACCCTGCGTAAAATCAAAATTTATTTGGAGCCAAATGAAAATACCAAACACGCACTAAATAAACAACAGCAAAAAAAAAAAAGAAATATATATTTTTTGTTTTTGAAAAAAAAAGTGAATAAACTCCCTCCCACGAATACGTTACTGACTGATATGGCGAAATCTTCTCTTGTCTAGGGGCCAAATAGAAATTTCTTGTAAAACCAAATTTTAGTTCAATACGGAACGTAAACAAGCAAACGGCTACCGAGGAAGCTAACAATTACGAGAAGCCAAGTGAAAACCTTTTGTTGTAAACGTGATCACATTAAAAAAAAACGAAAAAAGGCCTATAATAAAAAAATATTGTGGTGTTATAAATAAAAAAATTCAATTTGTTTCCAATAGAATAATCCAGAAGAAAAATAATAATCTCGTTGAAAAATATTTTATTGCATAGAAAAACAAATCATCATCAGCAGCATCATAATTGTTTGCTGTTTTGGAGAAATATGTTCATTAGCTTTGGTTGCATGCAACATAGGCAGCAGCAACAGAAACACCAAAACAACTCATCTCCATCCTCGACATCATCTAAATTATTAATTTCAAATGTATTTATTTGTTTTCCCCAACAACGTTCAGTGCCTTAGAGAAAAGCGTAGTCAAGCAACAAAATATTTCCACCGATAAAACAGAAAGAAACAAATAAGTTCAGCACTTTAAGTGTGTGTGTGAGTTAAGAAAAATAAATATTTTTTGTGAAAAATCGAGTTCCCGCTTTCCCACATCGCCAATGAATATGTATCGTCCAAATTTTTATGAATCAACGTGTCTGCGTTGCAACGAAACCGTCTACCAAGTGGATCGGGTGGGTCCCCTCAAGGACTTCACATTCTTCCATTCGGGTTGTTTTAAATGTGTCCATTGTGGCACGAAATTGACACTGAAAACCTACTTCAATAATCAACATAAACAGGATGATAAGGAGGTAAGTAATAAATCAAACAATTATGATTTTCTTATACGAAATTAAAAAATCGTTATATTAAAAAATATTTTGTGAAAAGAAAAAGTTCGTGTCTTAAGTCTTTTGATTTATTTATTATACTTTGAAATCCACTAACAAATATATATATTTTTTGTAAAAGTTTACAAAATGTCTGCAGATAATTTTTTCTATAGGAAATGAATACAAATGTTGTTACGTTTAGCCAGGACGAACATTTTATATCCTCATTTTAAATACCTAAAATGAACAGGATTTTTATCCTCTGAGAAAATGAAAAGAAATTCAGAAAATTTCGTTATGTCAAAACATGGCCTATATTAAAAAATGTATGCAAAGATATTTTGTACCCACCATGAACCTAAAATTCCAAATTGCAGCCACTAGCTGCGCTCAGTATCAATACTTAATATAGGTCTGGAGCTTTATATTGGGACATTGTGGTTGAATACATGGAACATTTTTTGCATATCAGCCTGTAAAAACAGGTTTAAAAATTCTTGCCAATTCGGTGGGAGTAAAACCTATAAAATACCTAAAATGGTGCGGGACCTTTATAGGAATATCGATGCAAAACATGGACCAATCCTTTAATTTCTGCATATATGTATCCTAAAGCCCCAAAAACAATTTACAGTCACTACGGCCAGTCACTCAGTTAGGATAGGGCAAGGAAAATGCCAAAATCAAAGCAGAGATGTTATTCTATGGGGCTATATCAAAACATTTATGTTATTGAAAATTTGCCCAAATATGGCATAACCCTTCAAAATACCGAAAATGTGACGGCAAAATGAGGACAATTTTTTTCTGTGGAAAGACGTCTTCCCTAGATGAGGATACTTTTTTGCGTAAAAAAAGGTCCCCAGAAGTTAAGAAAAAGGAACAAGTCTAGTTTAGGGTCCCCGGATCGTTTTGAAATTTTTACCACATGTAGTCCTTGAGGCCCTGATTATTACAGTATATTTTATTCTTGCGGAAATCGGTATTTCCGGAGATATGTGCCTCCAAAGTTCTGTTGGGACCCTTGTATTTGTTCATAAATGTTAAAAATCCACTAAGACAATATGGGTATCATTTTAAAGCATTTGAAACCCTAATTACAAAAATATAATATTCATATCAAAAAAGTCCATACTGAGATATGGGTCTCCTAAATTCCGCGCGATCCTTCTGAAAAACAATATGGGTATCAATTAAAAGCGGCTGAAACACAAGTTGCAAATATGTAACTACGGCTACGCAAAAGACTCTCCTTTTAATTAGAATAGCGTTTGTGGGTAGACGGCCTTCGGCCGGGGATATAAGACTTTCTCCTATGGACAGATGGCAACACCGGCTACGCGACAGAATCTCCTTTTAATTAGAATAGTGTCTGTGGGTAGCCGGCCTTCGTCTTTATAGACCAGGTAAAGCAAGTAGTCTTTATAAACCAGCAGAACAGGGAAGCTTTATGGACCAAGAGTCAGGAGTTTCAGACAAACTGAAAAAAGAAAAAGAAAGAAAGAAATCTTCAGCAGCAGATTTATGGGAAAAAGTCCTCAGAAGATGAGCACGAATATAGAAAAAGTCTTCAAATTATTATTTACCTTGAAAAGATTTATTACCAGCTGAAGATACATCTATAAACCCTGAGTAGATGAATGTTTTTATTTTAAGAAAAATATTTTTCTATCTAGCGGAGCTAAAGTCTTTATAAACCAGCAGGAGGACGAAGAAGCTTTATCGACCAACTGGGAGCCAAGAGTTTTAGACGAACTGAAGGTATTCTTTATATATGAGCTGAAGGAAACGTCTATGAACTTTATAGATGAGAATGTTTATAGAAAGCGTGAAGGCAAATGGTATTTCTATGGACGTGCGGAATAAGCTGGAGGTTGCCATTATATACAAGCTGAGGGGATTCTCTGAAATGAGTCTTTATATGCGATCTATAGTAATCATTTACATTCTAGAATCCTTCATAACCGAACCTTGGACATTTTTTAAAGGAGATCTCAGAAATAAGTTAAAATATGTTCCTCAGAATTTATGTACATAGATTTTTCAAATTTAAGGGAGTCTCAATAGACGAACTGCAGGGAGTTTCACAGAGGGCCGAAAATCTTTATCAATGAGCTACAGGAATCTTTTATAGATTAGCTGAAGTGGTAATGTTTGTAAAACAGGCAAAGACAGGATTTTTTGGAGATTAAATGAAGATTATAGCGAGCTGATGTCAGAATTTTTTTTTATGGACAAGCGAATGGCAAGAAGTTGTAAAATATGTGATGTTCTTCATGTAATAATGGCCTCTAGAGAGACTAGAAAATCTGTCAAAAATAAAGTTTTCTGTTCATTGCACCCCCAAAATATGAACTCAATATCACCAAATATTATAGGCGTCGATTAAGATTGAAGATTAAGAATTACATCTATAGATTTCGGCGATAATCGCTTAATATTTATGGTATCAAATGACAACAACATTTGGATTTTCCCCACACTTCAAACATTTTCTTTAGTATATCAACCTACAGTAGGGTACTGTTTAGCAACAAACAAAGGAATGCATTTTTTCTGTGTTTTTGCAAAACTTCTTTTGGCAAATACCAAAAACATGTAGGAACAAAAACGCGCAAACTATTTATCTGATTGTTTATCTTTCATCAGTGCATAGCTGTTGGTCTGTTGTTGGTCCAAGTGTTATAACGCCCGCAGTTGTATACAACGTCTGCAGCAGTAGCAACGTTAGTTGTAGTAGTGGTTACGTAAAATGTTATGGCCAGCTTATTTTCTTGATGAAATCTACCAACAACCCCTTCAAGTAGTTTTGTTGACCGTTTTTTTTTTCTTTTTCTATTTCTCAATGAAAATTCAAGTCGGCATGGTCTGAGTTTTAGACGAAATACAATGTAATCATATTCTCGTAGTTTTCAGTTACACCTATGCCTTGTATGGAATCTATGCATGCATGTATGCGTTTATTTGTGCTGGTATTAGTTGCCACTTTTTTTTATTAAGTACCGGTCTAATCAAAAAGTCAACGGCTCAGCCTTATTTAGCTACGCGCTGTACAACGACATAGATTCACGTTTTTAGACTTGTTCACCGCTGCTGCGGCTACTAACTGCATATTGTTGTTGTTGTAGTTACTGTCGCCTGCTAATCAATCACAATAGAATTCACCTACATATTATGCAGTTTATTATAACTAGATTGTAAAAAAAACAACGTAGACAATTAATAGGAAAACACCTAAAAATAGTAATGCCAACGACTTGTAATGATGCTAATTATTGATACGCTGTTAAGGGTACTTATTGTCATTATAGATAATATGAATTTAAAAATTGCACAACTTAAGGGTTAAAAATACTTCTTAATAACAATAATTACACTCAGAAAATTGAACAGCAAATGTAGCATTTTTTCTCAAAATAATTTTCTTATTTTCAATAAAAAAGCATTTATGTACATAAATAATTGTGAATATATCCATCGGGTCATGGCATAATTATGGAACTTAGTCCCATTGTGGTAATGGTATTATATTAACGTATAACTCCCCTATCGGAGTACATACATCCATATAATTGGTACCTATTTAAAGGTCAACCACTTCTCTTGGATATACTGTCAACTTTTCCGGGCTATATTCTTTAGGAGTCAATAACAACGCCATAGAAAGAAACATTTTAAATTGTTCGTACAAAAGTGTGGGACAGACGGACGAAAAGACATACATGTCTAGACATGTCGACTTAGCCAGTCGAAATACGAAAGGTGGTTCTAAGGCCAATATTTCGCGGCATTACAAACTCTTGGGGCCACACAAAGCTATAATACCCTGGCAAAATAGTTGTGTAGGGAATAAATATAGCATTTATGCCAGTGTCAGTTTATACACATATTAATACTACATAACCTAAAAAATACAGTTATAAGCATTAGTACGGAAATTATTTTTATACTTATACTTATTCTTTTTTTATACCCTACACAACTATGTTGTCAGGGTATTATAGCTTTGTGCAGCCCCAAGAGTTTGTAACGCCGCGAATTATTGGTCCTAGACCCACCTTTAAGTATACTGATCGTCATATCTCGACTAGATAAGTCGATCTAGACATGTGTGTCCGTCCGTCTGTCCGTCTGTCCATTATAATTCGTAAACACGATAAAGGCCACAGTTATGGACAAATCTTCACGAAATTTTGCATGTAGGATGGTTTCTGGCCAATGAAGACCCCTATTGTTTTTGGTAAACATCGGTTAATATTTAGGGGATGAAATGTACCAAATACTAAATTTTTGTCGGTTTTTCTGGTCGCTCCAGAGGCCGTAATTATGGCCCAAACATCGTGAAATTTTACATGGAGAAGGGGATCGGGCCAAAGAATAAACATGCCTATTTTTATAAAGATCGGTCAATATTTAGCGGTTCAAATGGAGAATGGCTGACCTTTAAATTGATACCAATTATATTGTCGTATGTTCTCGGATGTGGGAGTTACACTTAAGGGGACCCCCCCCATTCTCGGGGTCAAAATTTTTGTTGATATAATTTGAATCTACACTGATTAAAGAAAGTCTCTATAAAATTTCAAGTGAAAATCTCAAGAACTCTTCAAGATATAGCCGATTTATTGTGTCAGCTTCAAGTGACGGCTGAAGGGCTTTTCAAACTTTAAACGCGTTTTTCTCTAAATATTTTTTTGCGAATGGCGGGCACGATAACTCAAAAACTAATAATCCAATCGGTTGCAAATTTTGCAACGTTTCTCTGGGAGTGTATAGCTCTCGTATGAACTAGGATAAAGCCAATCGGTGAAGATCTTCCTTATTTTTTAACTTGGTTTTTGGTAAAAAATCGGCGATTTTCCAAAAATAATTTTTCAAAGGTCCATCATTTTGTTAATTTTAGAGCGAAGTCAATAATCCTAGTTCATACGAGAGCCAGACATGTACTCTTTCTAACACCGTTGGAATTTTCAGATTCCGATGTTCCAGTGAGGAGTTATCATGCCCGCCATCAAAAATAAGGACTTTTCTTCAATTACAAAAAACAACAACAAAACAATAACAAACATTTTTTGTAAATTATTTTTCTTCTCTTTTAAATCTTCAAATATATATGTGCAAAGTTACAAACCTTAACAAGCATTGGTATTGATTTACCAGCCCATTGAAATTCTTGAAAAATTAAAATCGAGAATGGGTGGGGTTCCCTTAAATGTTTACAGGTGCATTCGTTTTCAGATATTATTTAGTAACCCTTACCACACTAGAGGCCGGAAATATAACGCTAAATGTTACATGGGGTTCCAGTTATGGTCAAGGACAGCGCTTGTAATTTTCGGTGATGGTCAGATAATAATTTTGGGATGAAGTGGACAGGTATAAGCCGATCATCACCATACAACGCACGCTGAAGTCAATCTGGACAAGTAATAAGAAGGGCTGTACTGATTTTTTTTTTTTTTTTTTTTGTAAATGCTTTAAAACCGTAATGTTCGATTTTTAGCTTTTGAGCGATGTTACGACTGCTAATATGCCGGTCAATTTCGATCATTTCTCAAGGTGCTTCCTTATCATCAAAAATCCTGAACGGAATCTACGAAACCAAAATTACAATACAGTATCGGAACCATAAACACCATTCACAATTGTAGCCGCTTGACTTGCATTTTCGGCTTTGTCAAAGAAAAACTGTAAAATGTACAAATTATCTCTTGGTTCATGGTTCCTTTTGAAAATATGCATAGAATCACTTTCTGAGTCGATTTACGCATGTCCGTCTGTCCGTCCATGTATTTTTGTGAACAAAGTACAGGTCGCATTTATGATCCGATTTGGATGAAATTTGGCATAGGTCACTTATTTGGCCCAAGGACGAACCCTATTAAAATTGGGAAAAATCGGTTCAGAATTAGATATAGCTCCCATATATATTTTCGTCCGATTTAATGTAAATGATGCACCAAAGTCCCTATATATCTTTAGATTTGCACGAAATTTGGCATAGCGTAATGAATTAAGCCTAGAATGATGTGTGCTGAGTTTCATGAAAATCGGTTCAGATTTAGATATAGCTCCCATATATAGTTTCGTCCGATTTAAGGTAAATGCTGTACCATAGTCCCTATATATCTTTCGATTTGCACGAAATTTGGCATACCGTACTGAATTAAGTCTAGAATGATGTGTGCAAAGTTTCGGGAAAATCGGTTCAGATTTAGATATAGCTCCCATATATAACTTCGTCCGATTTAAGGTAAATTGTGTACCAAAGTCCCTATATATCTTTCGACTTGCACGAAATTAGGCATAGCGTACTGAATTAAGTCTAGAATGATGTGTGCAAAGTTTCGTTGAAATCGGTTCAGATTTAGTTATAGCTCATATATATATATATATCCGATTTTAGGTAGCTGGTGCACCAAAGTTTCCGAAAATAATTTGATTTGCACGAAATTTGTCATAGCGCACTGAATTATGTCTAGAATTGCGTGTGCTAAGTTTCACGAAAATCGGATTTAGATTTGGTGCACCAAAGTCCCTATATATCTTTCGATTGGCACAAATTTTGGTATAGAGTACTGAATTAAGTCTAGAATGATGTTGCTAAGCTTCGTGAAAAAAGCCATAGCTAGGCCGATTGACACAACGTTCTGAAGTAATATAAATTAATCTCTGGCATGTTTCCCTGAAATCGGTTCAGATATAGATAAATAACAAACACGCGACGTCTGTTAGGATACATATGTAGAATATACCCAAAGTGGTGAAGGGTATCATATAGTCGGCCCAGTCCGACTTTACTACTTTCCTTACTGGTTTTTTACTGTGAAATGCCACCCTTTCAACGAGCATAAATCTGATATTGTTTGATCGATACATTACGAGAAATCTATCAGTACTGCCATCTATATATATATATATATATATATATACCAGCCCGAAAAATCTTCAAAGACGTGCCAAATCCAAGAAAATTCGTTGTATTTTAAAGGATTTAGATTTTTACAGTTATTTTTAGATTTACAATAGTAGAACATATACCCAAAATTGTTTTTATCTTACATACTATAAATTTGTTCCATAACCGTTTCTATTACGTCTACATAGTTACGCTACATTCCAAAAATATTTCTTTTCACATTTTCTTGTTTTGCCCACCAACAAACAAATATTTAAGTGATTCGTTATTAACCACAAATAGTGAGCCCACATTACTACAGGAAGGCAATTCGATTTTTTTATGGCAAAACAGGAAAACAATTACAAAAAGATCTTAAAATTAAAAACGCTGTTGCATTATGCCAGCCATAAATGCAACTTAAAAAAAATATTTATTTTTTCTTCATAATTTTTTATTATGACTTGCTGGTTTATTTTTACGATTCATTACGTTATTATTATTTATTTATGTTCGTATATTTTTTCTTCTTTTTCTCTTCACTGCAGGTCTATTGCAGTTCACATGTACCAAAGAGTGGTCCGGGTCATTTGGATAACACATCGGTGGGCATACGCCAGGCATTGAATGCACCACGCACCAATAAATTTGTAAATGAACAAATTCGGGGAACGCGTACCGAGGTCGATGGTAAGTACAACGAGCCAGAGAGAGCGTGAGAGGGGAATGACCTCTGTAACTACAAATTAATTGTTAATTTGAAGAAAGAAACAAGAAGACGTTGAAAGCCATTTCATTATGCCGTTAATTATTGTCTCCGAACATTAAAACAAAAGATAAGCCATATCATCTCAATTGTTATTTTTCTTCTTCCCCTCTCTTTTCATGTGCTTTTGTTTGGCCGTCCAATGCAATTAAAGGAGGTTTCGGTTCACGTCAATCCACCCCAAATGGCTATGGCAGTCGTGAGGTTAGCTCGCCGTCACAAAATGAATCCGATTACAAATATGGTCGTTTCGATGCCAGCGCTCTGCACATTGCACACGCACTCAAACAGACTGAAATCCAAAAAGCCTACAACAAGGCGCGAGAAAAACCCATTGATTTCTATTTGGTAAGTGAAATTGATTTTTCCAGTTTTCCACAGCCACTACACACTCACACACAGGGAGACTTAAAACTGGTGGTAAAGAATTAATTGTTGAAGCTCCGTCTTCATTGTCATCTTCAACGGCGATGCAATGATGTTTTGCAGCCAGAGAAAAAAAAACGAAACAAGTTTGGTTCTTAAGTCTTTTGTTTGTCTAGTTGCTGGTTGTTTGGTTTTACTTTTTATGGGTGAAATGAAATCATCGAATGAACAAACGTCTGAATGAATGAATTGCAGAAAAGAGAAAATATTCTCAATTTCGAAAGTTGACAGTCAGATGAAAAAAACCAGAACATTTTCACTTGAAGAAAAATAATCTAGTTTGGGTCATAAATCTTTTACTAGAGGAAAATATAAAAACATCTAACGTTTTCTTCTTTAATATTTTTTGATTGTTTTTATTTTTTCTTTGATTTTATATATATATATATATATATATATATATATATTTTAAATTTATAATATCTAATTTTTATGTAGATATTTTCGCACTTTCAGAGGAGCGTGTGTAAATTACCACACGTTGCACAAATTCACTGGAAACATTTATTTACGCCAACAAATTGTCTTTTAAAGTTTACAAAGGCTTAAGATAAATACGAATCAAATGGAATCCAGTTTGACAATTTTGTGGACAACACACATGCATAAACAAATCTGTCGGGAAAACAATAAAAAATTGAAAAAAAAACGTTGCATAACCTGAAAACTGATTTTATCTCCGGAAAAAAGTCCTCAGGTGATCTGAAAATTGTGCGACTTTTTCTATACATAAATTCCTCAGATGCACTGTGGACATTTTCTGTAGAAAAAAATTGGGAAGACCACAGCGCTGAGCAAATGTGTTCAATAGAAAACGATACTTTTTTGAATAGAATATAGAGAGACCTTATATAGAAAACAGCAAAAAACTCTAAAAGTTGTAGAAATAGTTTTCAATAGGAAAAAATCTTATCTCATAAGCCGGAGTATTTATTCTGTAGCAAAATCCGATTTTTTGTGTAGAAATTTTGTAGCTTTTCCAAAGAAAAATTTGTTCAAGTTCTGAAGAAGTTGACGATGTATTATATTCAAACTTTAATTTATTTCTGTAGAAAAAAAATAGAATCCAACAAAAACAACGTGTGCTTGAATTTTTTACTTAAAAAAAACATATGTCCCTAGAAAAACATATGTCCCTTTTAGAAAAAATTTAACATTTTGCATATAGGACGTGTTCTGGCCAAAGAAGACCTCTATTGTTTTTGATCGTTTAATATTTAGGGGATGAAGTGGACCAAAAACTTTTTAAGTATACCGATCGTCATATCTCGACTAGCTGAGTCGATCTAGACATGTGTGTCCGTCCGTCCGTCTGTCCATTATAATTTGTAAACACGAATGAAGTCCCCTATTGTTTTTGGAAAAGATCGGTTAATATTTAGGGGATGAAATGGACCAAAAACTTTATTTTTGTCGGGTTTTCTGGTCGCTCCTGAGGCCGCAATTTTTGCATGGAGAAGGGGATCGGGCCAAAGAATAAGCATGCCTGTTTTGATAAAGATCGGTCAATATTTAGCGGGTCAAATGAACCCTGACTTTTGTGTAAAAAATGACAAAATTTGTATTCTATGGCGTATATATTTGCCCCTGAAGGACCAAGGCACGAGAAGTTTTTAGTGTGTTCAAGAGGAGTGGTTGACCTTTAAATTGATACCAATTATATGGTCGTATGTACTCAGATGTGGGAGTTACACTTAAATATTTACAGGTGCTTACGTATTCAGACATCATTTAGTAACCCAATACCACACTAGAGGGCGGAAATATAGCGCTGATCGCTTTGAAAATTTGCATGAGATTCCAGTTATGGTCAAGGACAACGCCTATAATTTTCGGTGATGATCACATAATAATTTTGGGATGAAGTCGACCGAAAACTTAACTTTTTGTGCTACTTTTTTTTGACTCAATATATTGGCCACAATTGAAAGCCCAACATCACAAAATAACCCACGGTAAAGAAAATCTGGACAAGTACAGCCCTCGTCTACTGAATATTGCTAATATTTGTTGACTTTTAGTCGGGTGTCAAGAGGGTGCAAATAACGCAAAGTTAGATTTTCGTGGAAGTTGTGTAGGGTATTATATGGTCGGCCCCGTCCGACTATACTGTCCCGCTCACTGGTTTTAATATAAATGGGTCCCTTGGTCAACATTCCTTATTTTGACAATTTACAAGAACATTTAACAAGAAATTTTCCTAGTCACATTAGTTTTTAATCAATGAAAAATCTATGTCCATTCGAATAATAAAAAAATCCAATCTACAAAATCTACTTTATTGAAAAAAAAAATATTTCCAATCCACTAAAATCTACCTTTCTGATAAAAATATTTTCTTCTCTAAAAAATTCCGTGAACTCTTTTTTCTGTGTAAATACCATATTTACAGAAAAAAAAACTTTGTTTTACAACACTGTTAGCACACAAAAAAATTCCACACGCCTATCGGCATTTAATTGCAATAAATTTGTACAACATTTTGTAAATTCAGCCTGAAACCTAAAAAAATGCATGCGTACCAATATCTGTTGAAACCTAACCCAAAATGAATTATTTAAATCTCAGACATGTAAATGTGTGTGACAATAAAAATCCCTAACATTTTTTTCTACTGAAATTTATGCTTTGAAAATGTAAATAAATGTCGCAAACATTAAATATACAAATGGTAGCACATAAATATTATTGCTTAGGCGAGTGTAAACACCTGGCTGTATTTTGTTATACCCAAAACGAAAGACTTAAGAACCGAACTTCAAGTGGTGAAAAAATATGGGTGTAATATATTTTTTTAATTTTTTTTGGGAATTCAAACATTTTTTTAAATAAAAAGATATAATTATCTACGCTGAGAAAAGTAAATTAATGAAAAATTACCGGCAAACTTACCAAAGCATGCCTCAATGCAAACCTTGTAATAATTTAACGCAGCCATAAGATAAATACCTGTGAAAATCCCGAAACAAAATAATGATGCATGGGAAACATCCATCCACCCATCTACTTTTTTCCATAATGTGTACCAATATAACGGGTCTCTCACGCACTTTGTTTGCTTGGCCGCAGACAATCTATTTCGTGGAACCAAAAGCAAAATATTCATTAATTATTCAATGCATTATTTTATGGTATTTCTATATTTTACAGTGGAGCACTGTTACAACGAATTCGAATCAAAACAAAATCATTTTTTCCAATCTCATCAATTCTCTACATATATTTCGGAGTAGTTCTATGTCCATTTCAACATGTTGTAAGCATTTTATGTGAGTTACTTTAAACCATGTACTTATTCTATGTAAACCCACATGCATTTTGGTTTCTTCTATATTTGGCTAAATTTTCCCTCTCTACCTCTCTCTCTACCCTCTATTCCAAGTGGACATACAAAAATGAAAAACAACTGCTAGTTTTTCTATAAACATTTGTTGTAACATTGTGTTAATGTTATAAATTAACAATTTAATTAGTGCAGAACATCCGATAGATTTATTACTACAAAAAAATGAAGAATCTTCTTCATTGCCTTCGCCATTACGACGACAGGCATGGCTGAAAGCGTATTTACCCCAAAACAAAACTAAAAAACTTCTTATTAAACGTAGAAAAATAAAAACAAAAAAAAAAATAACTTGGTGGAATTACTGACCAGCTAAGCAAAACGGTTAAAAGAACAATTATTGTAAAGCACACACACACATATATATATATATCCATATACACATATCTTACAACAGTTATTACATATGAAATGCATATTTAGGAACCAATTTTTTATACCATTCACCACACTGTGGTACAGGGTATTATGTCTTTGTGCATATGTTTGTAACTGGCAAAAATAATCGAGATAGACCCATGGTTCCTTTTGAGAATATGCATAAAATCACTTTCTGAGTCGATTTATGCATGTCCGTCTGTCCGTCCATGTATTTTTGTGAACAAAGTAAAGGTCGCATTTATGATCCGATTTGAATGAAATTTGGCACATGCCACTTATTTGGCCCAAGGACGAACCCTATTGAAATTGGAGAAAATCGGTTCAGATTTAGATATAGCTCCCATATATATATTCGTCCGATTTAATGTAAATGGGGTACCAAAGCCCCTATATATCTATCGATTTGCACGAAATTTGGTATAGCCTACTGAATTAGGTCTAGAATGATGTGTGCTAAATTTCGTGAGAACCGATTCAGATTTAGATATAGCGTCCGTATATAGTTTCACCCGATTTTAGGTAAATGGTGCACCAAAGTCCCTGCTAATCCTTTGATTGGTATGAATTTTGGTATAGCGTACTAAATTAAGTCTAGAATGATGTGTGCTAAGTTTCGTGAAAATCGGTCCAAATTTAGATATAGCTCCCATATATAGTTTCGCCCGATTTAAGGTAAATGGTGTACCAAAGTACCTATATATGTTTCGATTTGCACGAAATTTCGTATAGCCTACTGAATTAGGTCTAGAATGATGTGTGCCAAGTTTCGTGAAAATCGGTTTAGATTTACAAATAGCTTCCGTATATAGTTTCGCCCGATTTTAGGTAAATGGTGCACCAAAGTCCCTGAAAACCATTTGATTTGCATGAATTTTGGTATATCGTACTAAATTAAGTCTAGAATGATGTGTGCTAAGTTTCGTGAAAATCGGTTCATATTTAGATATAGCTCCCATATATAGTTTCGCCCGATTTTAGGTAAATGGTGCACCAAAGTCCCTGCTAATCCATTGATTGCCATGAATTTTGGTATAGCGTACTAAATTAAGTCTAGAATGATGTGTGCTAAGTTTCGCGAAAATCGGTTTAGATTTACAAATAGCTTCCGTTTATAGTTTCGCCCGATTTTAGGTAAATGGTGTACCAGAGTCCCTGAAAATCATTTGATACATACTTTTGTCCGATTTTAGGTAAATGG